ATAATAATAAAATAGTAATGAATTAGTGTAAGTCAATAAGTAAAAAATGTTACTTAATTTAGAATTAGATTATACTAGAATTAGATTATTAAAAAATGAATAGAATAAAGATTAGAGAGCCAAGTTAAATATTTTTTTGCTCAAATGAATAATTTAATATCTAAATATATAACAAATATTTCACACTTTTAATGAAAATTCTCAGTTTTACAATTAGAAGTTCAAATGCTATTAAATATATGTAATATATTAAATATATGTAATAGATGAAAATAAAAGAGTTATAAAAATTGTAATCTTTTAGAATTCTTTTATTCTTTGATTAACAAATCAAATGCATCGTTACTTATAATCAATATCACTTAAATTTTTAATTGTGACACTGACAATGAGGATGACTTTTTATTAACAATTAACAACAGAAACGTTTGTTATATATTGTTTATATACTCTCTAGCTCTTGTTCTGCTGATTTTTGAATTTTATTTTTATTGAGCGTTTTATACTAATTTTAAATTATTTACCATTAAATTCTTATTAATAATTAATATCCGTTATTTACTAATTGCCAATAAATAAATGACTTAAATAAAAAATTATTTTTAATATAAAAAAATTACATAAAACAAATTTTTTTTGTTTACTTAGTATTATTATATTATTGTATATTTTTACGCACTAGACAACACACAGTCCAGTAATATTTAATTTTTAATATTATATACTTATACATTTATAATAATCTAAGTTTTTGTGAATTGTCAAATCATGTGTTGAATTACTTTCGCAGTATAAAGTGAAAAAATCAGAATTACGATAAAAAGACAACAATATATTTGACTATTGACTTAAATTTTATTCTAGGAAAAGGATAACTTTCTGCGGAGAACATCGGATGTTTTCGAACATTGACCCTTTATTAACAATTCAATATGTATAGACACATTCTGTTCAGCATATTTGAAACTAAATGTTTATGACTTCAACTAAACAATTTTTTTAAATTTTAAAATATCTTTCTTAGGTAAAGATGCATAATATCATTCTTACGATTAGAAACATTAAAGAACATTTCATTCCCTATACTCTGTTGTTCTCCTCTCACTTTATTTCTTTGAAAACTGTACAAATGTAATCCAGTTCCTTTTACAGAATACATAACATGTAATTATTGTCATTCTATTATAAGTTTAATGACTTTTATTGTGTATATACAGAACATAACAGACATTTATTTATTTTTCGAAGAAGTATTAAGGAACAAGTTAAAAAAATGAAACTGACAATTACACATCAAATTATAAATTTGGCGGACAAGTCCGATATCTTTGTATTTTATGGATATTAGAATCTTAATGTTCTTAGATTATGAATAGAAAATTATAAATGTCCATAAAAAAATGAACTCTATTCTATTTTCTATTTGCTGTTATACACTACACACACACACACTACACACACGCACACACGCACGCACGCACGCACGCACGCACGCACGCACGCACGCACACACGCACACACGCACGCACGCACACATATATAAAATGACGATTGATTATACTTATGAGAGTGGGCATAAACTGCATAGAATTACATTTGGAAAAACCGTCAGTGTTCTTTCAATTCTTTTTTAAACCGGAGTGCCAAATAAATGTGCTGATACTGAGCTTCATTTCCTCGTGTCCTTAATACTGATTAAGAGTGATAGTAACAAATATTATAAGTTGCTGAAGACCAGCTTGGTGTGTGGTGGCCGGATCATATTGTATATTGTATCATATTGTATATTGTATATTGGTTAATTTATATATTTAGCATGTTGATTGAATAATTCTTCCAATATTGATATTTGTATTCGAGCACTTCAAGATTAGCGAGCTTTCGAATTTCGTCGATAGTTTACCCGCGGCTTTAGATTACAGCTTACAACAATTTTCAAAGTAATCAGTTTTTGAATACGATGTCGATAAGACATTGTTGCAAACTTCAGCTTCATCTAATCTTATCTTGTTTGGGATATAAAAAGTATTAAGTTAGCATTAGTTTTTTATTATATATTTAATCAATTAGATTTTCTAAATGAAATGTGTTTTAAATCTATCTAATCTTTAATTCGAGTAATACGGTCTCGTATAAACGATACTAACGATTTATATAGAGCCTTGCATAAGTGATACATTTCTGTCTTAATATCTATCCAATTAGAATAACACATTATAGAATTGTCATTCATCAGCTTTTAATTACTACGGGTAATGATTGGCGAAATTGTATCTATATTAATCAACATTTGTATATAATGACAATTAAAAGTAATTTATTGCTTTTTCGTTCTAATATTATGTTTAGCATTAATACAATTGGTACGGTGTTGTACTTTTTGAGTTACGCAATTCGTTTTGTATATCTGCCCGGAGACAATGATACTTACAATGATATTTTGCAGTAGCTTCCATTAAGGTATAATTTCTCTTTGAAATTCAACATTCACCAATTTTTGAACTGCTGGTCATAATTCTACTTCTACAAGCGATGTTAAATGTGTGCTTACTATTCCGACGCTTTAATTTCTATTCTAGTAAGTCATCTTATAAATAATATTTTTATTTAAACAAATGTTGTTTAATGGCAGCATGTGACGTTAGTATGTGCGAGTGCGTCGTATCATGTTTTGGAATGTGTGCTTTCTTGAAAAAATTGATAATTTAGACGTTTAACAGAAGCAGCAAATATGAGCGAAGAAGAAATTCAAATGTAGAACAATGCATAATATTGAATTTCTTTCTATATCTTTCTTCTTATCAAGTAAGAAACAAATCTTCGAAAATATATACAAGGATAAAAGTATATGACGAAGGAACGTTTGAACAGAAGCATTTATATATGAAGTAAGTTCTTCGAAAAAGATCGATAATGTATTCAGAATAAACCGTATCCTTGGCACCCAAGACCGACAATGGCAGAGAATGCTAACCGAATTGATGTTTATGCTGATCAACGCATTACAGAGTGAGACATTGCCTTTATTTTGAAATGCATATTTCGAGAATTTTACTCCTTTCTTAAAAAGAAATTTAACAATTATGAATTGTCCCACATTAGATAATCTTTGTTTATGTCTATAGCTTTTATCGAACTTTGCGTTAATAAGTTTACCAATTTTTTCAAAAGAGTACACATTACAAAGCTTTATTGGGGCTCCTATTCTTAAAAAAAAATATGTATGAGAAATTAGGAAAATACTATAGTATACGTAATGTATACTTCAAAATTTTTCGTACACATTTCTTTTGAAAAATAGAAGTCTTAATGCTCTGCTAATCACACTCGCACATGCCTCGATTGTCACTTGGGCATGTAATTAAAATAAAAATTTAAATTTGGCGCCTCCCTTAATAATATAATAATAAGTATATTCTAAATGTACAATAAGTTAAATGTTATTTTAAATTCAATACTATGTAAATTAATTAGCTATTTATTTTAGATATGACTTCTTTTATTAATGTAAATTTATATTATAAATAGGTTTTTTATTATATTATTATTTTTAATTGTATTCTAAAGATTTTATGATACTACTCCATTCTCTTCATTACTTTTATATTTTATAATAAACGATATACATACATCTTTTTTATACTTTTACTTTTTCAACTTTTGTTACTGATAAACTTATAATAGTAAGAAAATAAAGGAAACTTTGACACTTATACAAAGATTTTTACAATATTCAATAAGGAAAAACTGTAAAAAATGTTATTAAATATTATATTTTTTATGTCTTTTGCATTATTTTCAGGGCAAATCAATCGCCGACGCAGCATGAATTACAGCGGGATTTACTGTTAAATAAAAAAAAAATGATAAATTATAGGAAGGTTATAATATTATGATCTCAAAAAACGATTTGATATGATTACAACAGGGAGAATTATAAATTTATTTTTGGAAACTTTTACGAATGTAAGTTTTTGGAATAACTTTGCTAGTTAAATAAATCTTTTTGACATTCATAAAAAATATAAGTTTGTAAAATAATTTTTAAAATTCTTTTCAGATCTTAAAATTATCAGCATTATACATATTGTTTTACACGATGTATTGATATTCATCACAAACAATATTTTGTTGAAATCTTAGTATTATTTAGTATTATTAGTATAAAATGTTAATATAAAGAATTGTTATTATTAAACTATTTTTGATGAAATGATAGTACTAAATTTTTATGTTGTTTTAAGATTTATAAATGGACAATATAGAATTATACTTAAATTGATTTCAATCTCTTCATATCTGTCTTTTCTTCAACTTTATTTTGTATTTTAAAATTTTCTTGGATTTAAAAAGAAGAGAAAGACAAATAGAGAAAAAGAGCAATTTAGCTTTTCAACGTAACAATTATCGAGACTTTATTCTATCTAGATCTAAACATGTGCAGTTTATATTAGTGCATTTATTTGTTTGTGTTTGTATAACCAAACTTCTATAAAACATCCAGTTGATTTTAGTTCTTCAAGTTTTCTTTACACATATGTTCTAAGAAAATTCAATATTTACGTTATTAGAGGAAATTATTTTTCATTATGTTGTGAGAGTTTAATACAGAGGGATATAAGATGTTTTTTCTTTCTTATCTTCGTAAAAATTCACGATCGATGCACGAATTCATTTCCGTTACTGAGAATACCTAAGTCGCAATTATAAACTTTCAAACTGTTCTTTCAAACGTTCAACAATCATTACGACATCTAGAAATGCACATCCGTTTTTTTTACAATCTAGCATTATTAGTAGGAAGAAATGATTATTCATTTTTGTTATTTCATAGGTACATTATTAAATTGTACAAGGAATATAGAATGATCGTACAAGATAATATACGAATTATTCTTTCTCAAATTGCTGTTATACGATGTATAACTGCGATTGATGATTGGTCCGTATTGACATGAGTGGGGGTGTGCGTGGGGATGCACTTGGAAAAATTGTTACTGTCCTGTCAGTTCTTTCATAGTCACAGCAGACAAATGTGCTAATCTTCATCCTCCGTTTTTGAAATTATCAACGAATGGTAGCCAAGAGTACCGTTAGTCCGGCGCTGAAATTCAGCCTTCGGCTGCTTGGTGTATGGCCGGAGGTGTCATATTCTATTTTTTATTGGCTGATTTTTATGTCAAGTATATTGATTATACAATATTTTCAATATTTGTACATACTTGAGCACTTCAAGATCAGCGAGTTCTCAAATCTTATCGATGGCTTATCTTTAACTTTAGATTACAGTTTGACGTTTGTTAAATTGGCCAGCCTATGGATACATCGTCGGTAAGACGTCGTGTCGCGTATGTAATATATTACATCTTATATCAAATCGCCGATATATTATAGAAAAACTAGATTTTTTAGTTTAAAATCCAAGCATTTACTAACGAGGAATGCATTAATTATAAATTACATTTGAATCATTAGTGCATTGATCTGGCATAAATAGAACAATATCGTTTCAATATTCTATTCTTTACTTGATAAATTAATAATATATTACAGTGTTTTTCATAAAATCTTGGCTGTTATGGATAATGATTGGCGCGAGTGCATTAACATTGATGAGCATTTGAATATGATGATAATTAAAGCCACTGTATCTCATTTTTATTCTAATGCTATGTTGAGTTTTAATGGTGTAGCTGCAGTATTGTACGTTTTGGGTGATTATGCAATTCGTTTTGTATATATATCCAAAGATTACAATGATACCTTGCGGCAGCTTCCTATCAAGGTGCTTCTTCCTTTCGAAACAGAGCAATCGCCGATTTTTGAGCTGCTAGTTGCAATTATGTTTCTACATATAATACTAGTCTCGTTATTAGTCGCCGTTTTAAATGGATTAATTTTTACTTTGGTAAGTCTCATATTCTAAACTTTCACTTTTTCTATTTTATCAAAATTAACAAAAGGATTTGTGATGAGTGTTAGATCCAAGAACATTATGGTATAAAAATATTATTTAATATGTATCATATGCATTTTCGTATATACAACATTGCAGCATTATTGTGTAAGAATACTTTCTTTAAAAACGTAAAGATAAATGTTGAAAAATATTTGGAAAAAATATGCTTAAATAATTAAATATATCACATAAGAATAAGCAATTGAAAATTTACATCAAATATGTGTTTTGCCATTAAAAATATTTTTTACAGATATTGTTTGAAACTTTGCAGCAATTTAAGTACATTTTAGGTGCTTCACGTAAGCGGGCAAATTGATATAATATGTCAAGAGTTTAAAAATATTTCCGAGAACGCCTTTCCTTATCAATCTTCCGCATTTACATTAAAAGTGTTGATCAAAAGGCATAATAAAGTCTACGCATTTTCCGAGAATATTGAGGAACTTTTTTCCTTCATTGCATTGATGCAAGTTGTTTGCAAAACTTTAGTCATTTGTTGCTTAGGATTCGTTATTATAATTGTAAGTATTGCAATAAATAAGTTATGATATCGATATTGTTATTGATATCGATATAAATTAAATATTTTCTTTTATTGTACATTGAAACAGTCGGTTCATAATGAAATTGATTTCTACTTGTTTGTGAAAGCTGCTGTGGCTTATATTGCCGTAATGATAGAAATCTTTATTATTTGCTTTGCGGGAGAATATCTTAGTCTTAAGGTCAGTAAATTAACAATATTGTGAGGAGTTACTATATTAAAGACTAAAAAAATGTATACTAACTTTATTTCATATGATAAATGATTTACTCCTTTATTACAATTTTTATTACTAATGTCAGAATTTGAATATAATAGAAAAAAAGGTCTTTTTTTCAGATAAAAGAATTCTTTGGATTGAAAAAAAAAAGTACTACCCTGTTGTTTTTTATATAATTTATATTATTTTTAGAGTATATCAGTTGGTGATGCAGCATATAAATCGTTATGGTACGATATGCCAATTAATCAGACTAAAATTATATCATTCGTGATAATGAAATCCCAAAGGCGATTGTCAATCACTGCAGGGAAAATGATGGATATGTCATTTGAAGCTTTAACGAATGTAATATTTCATAATTATTTTGATGAATAATTTTTTAATAAAAACTTTATCTTGCTTATAATTGATGTTAGCATTCATTATGATATGTATTCTTTATATATATATATACACATAAATTAAAATTAAATATTTTATACATTTATTTGTTTAGATCATGCGGGCATCGGCATCATATGTATCTGTCTTGTATGCGATGTATTGACATCAATGCAAGTGATTGTTAAAACCATTTAAGTTAATGTAATAAGACGATTTAGAAAATGTAAACTATTTAAAGGAATTATTAACTTGTTGTTAATAAAGTAGTTGTTATAATATTTTGAAATAACATTTGTGATTGCAGAGTTATGCTGTTTAAAATAATGTTAAATGCGAATAATTGCATTCTTTATTTTATTCATTTGTTGAATACTTAAATCTATTTTTATATGTAGCTTACATCAAATTTATTGAATTTTTATTGAATAACTTAGTATATTTTCTTGTATGTAGTTGTAATTTTTATAATATGTTCCGTTGGTTTAAGTTTCTCTGCTTCCAAAATCCATTATAGCAAGGTATATCATTTGGTGCAATTAGAATATTCAGACGGATAATGTAAACTATTTCGAATTACTGTTAGACTATACAACTCGTAACTGGGATCGATTGATTGGCATGCTCCAGCGGAGCATATCGTTTAAGGATCTGTAGGTAATTTCAGTGAATTATGAATTCATATGAATGTGCAATACCGATTTTCGTGTTCTCATGTATTGTTAACGTAATTTTAAGTTGTCTATTTTCACACATCTCCTAACAATGAATTTCGAATTGCAGAAAGATAATTGTAATTGCCGTGTCCATCTTTCAAAATGGTATATATTGTTTAACAGTAAATCAGTAATAAATATTCCAGATACAGTCGGATTTATAATTGCATTGGCATGAGTTATCTGGTCATTTTAAGTCATAAATAGCAGCAAATTGTACAAAATTTTGACGACAAAGAAAACAATTGAACGAGTGCAGTAATGATGATCGGCATTTATGCGTGATTATTATCAAAAAACTAATATTTCATATTTTTGTTCCCATTTTAAGCATCATTGTGCCATCCGCAATACTGTATTGGCTACACTTACTTTCCCAAATTTAATGAAAAAACGTAATAATACGTTATGAGATAACCTCCTGTTAAGCTAGAAGTTCTCTTAGAAGTTGAACCTTAAAAGTCTTATATGCTAAAAATAGAAAATAGCATTAGTAACAAAAAATTATAGTATGATTAATTTAGAAAGATTTTACTTTTACCAAATTTGTTATTAAAAATACTAAATACTAAATAGTTTATTTATTGAATTCATTAATTATATAATTATTATATGTATCTATAATATTATTTTAAATCGTTATAAGTTATATCAACTGGAGTTACAATTTTAATACAATTAGAAACAGCTTCAATTTTCTTTTATATTATACAGTAAAAATATTAAAATTTTATTATGTGTGGGAAAAACAATCCACAGTTTTAAATAAAAACAGACGACTCCTAAAGCCGTCTGTATTACCGATTAAATCGTATAATTTTTGTATAATAAATACTTTTTTCTTTTTTACAGATTCAAAAATCTTTTTCCAGGATTAAAATATACACGTTTGTGAGATGGAATTATACCAGAAAGAACGACCAAAAATTTCGAAATTGATACATTTTTTACCATTTTTTAGTGTAACATGACATCTTAAGCTGTTAAGCCGTCACAACATTTGCTTAATACAAAAGTTTTATAATCTGTACTTACGAAATAGTAAGCCACAAGCACGTACTTTGCATGAATAAATAACATCGAGTTTTTAGAATTAGACTTAGACGCTTTATCGTGACGAATTTGTTATACGAAAATTGATACAGACGTGCGACTGACAATGAGTGTATCATAGGTGCGTTAGATATTAGATAAAGACATGCGCTGGAAAAACAGCGATCTCTGGACTTCGTTGGAGTTCGGGCTTCACTTTAAAATTCTCTTAACTTCTTATCTGTATATCGTTTGTTTCTTTCTTTGCTATCTGTACTTTTTCTTTAAAGTTTCCTCAAGTCTTTGTCAATTGTTTCTTTTCAACAATATTACACATAATTCGACGAATAGAAGTATACAAACACATATTCAAAGAAAGCTCTACATTTTTAAAAGAAATTGTTCGCTACCCTTCGTGCTAGCGAAGAGAACCCTGTTGATCGTTTGTTACCCCTGAAGTTATAATGTTTCAAGAGCCAATGCTTGAGTCGTTACGTGTAATTACGATTGATCGACTGATACGACTGATGATGGGTGTTCCAGGTTTCGCCGACCCCTCTGCGATCGATTGGTTCTCTTATTGTCATCACGCGATGTACAATGGATCAATCGTCGTACAAGTTTCATGCATAACACGTATCGTTTACTCATCGGTGGCAGGCAATAATTTAGGAAAGTATGTATCGTGGAAATTATCACAATTTCATGAGATTAATTATAACACGCATGAGAAACATGTTTTTATCGAAATGGGATTCCAATCGGAAATTATCGATATATAACTCGTTGCTTTTTGCAATTTTCAACGTTTCTTTTATTTTCATGACATTAGTTATTATGGTAAAACGTCTTTATGTACTTATATCTTCAAGATACATAATTTTTTAATTCTCGTAGACATTCTGAGCATAATTTTAACATAGTATAGCTTTTTGAAGTTGGTCAGTCTGTAGCTGAACAGCGCCAATAAGCTTGTAATAAAACTAATAAAAATGATTTAGAAAGACACGTTGTTCTTTTTCGATCTAACAAAATATCGTGCGATATATTATTTGTTTCAAAATTATTTCATTATCTTTAAATTATGTCTCCCATAAAATTAATTATTTCAAATAAATTAAGAGAAATAGAATATTATAATCATAATTTCTTTTCCGTTTGATTCTTTATATTTTAAATCGTTCTGACAAAGATTTTACTCATATAAATTATAAAATATTCATCTTTTCTGCAATGTTTATATTTTAATTCTTCTTTTGTACTTCAAATTTGATGTTTATTCAATCTAGCAATAAGAGTTCTTTCTCAAACTGTTCATAAATATAAAAGATGTCATAAAACGTTCGCACAGTGTATTTTCCAGACTTTTTATTTAGATACTTTCCGTTTTATACTGCTGTGTGTTTACGTTGCGTATGTATTTCTGTTGTGTCTTTTTCTCTACATCAAATATTTTTATGATATCGCATAAAAAACTTTTCAATCGAGATTTTAACAACAATGAACAGAGATTGGAGAAAGTACATTAACTACCAAGTCACAAATGCATGCATCTAATGCTCGTATATATGTTCACAATTTATGCGAATCTGTCATATTTGCTTTAATAAACATTTTAAAACTCATTAACATTTCAGCTGCTGCTTTCTACGCTCTCGGAAGTCTGATTCGCTTCGCGAAGGATGAAAATGATCCTCACGAGAGCAAATTCGATCTTCCCCTCAAAATGAAATTACTTTCTAGGTTAATGAATCTCCATCTTTGAGATCATGGTAAGATCCAAGAGTTTCATTACCTTCTCCTCTTTGATTTTAATGATTCTCTGATCATTACATGAGCGAGTTTCAATTAGTTTTTTCACGTTGCACTTAAAGATCATTTTTTAAATTTCTATATTAAAAATGGAGCACTTTAATCCCCCATAATTTATAGATTCTTCATCTAAACAATCAAATTCATATAATATAAATTTTGATTCAAATCTTTCCAAAGAAAGCTGTCAGAGTTTTTTGCTTTTACCAGAGATTCTCATTTTAAAGTGTCTCATGTTTGTCTTATATATCAAAATTGATGCAGTTCATATTTAATCCTTTGATTATTGATATCTCATAATTCATGATTATTATTATGATAAAATTTATTTTACAATAATAATTATAAATTTTGAGTAATTATTTTAATTAAATAAATAAAAGTTATAATTTTTTTAAGTTTGTCATTATTATTATGTAGAGATACAATCGTTATGTAATAATATATATTACTTATTATATGTATTATCGATGTTTTCTAATTTGATAATATTTCATGTTTATGATTTTGACAATTTTATTAATTTATTATAAAGTGAAATAGGTATTATTTGTTAACTTATCAATACTATTGAAGA